GCTGAATGTTTAGTGAAAGCCATTGGATTTTCTTTTTGTTGGTTGTTTCAAATAATTTCAAATAACGATGACAACGACTATAGAAAGCTAAGCTGCTCCAAAACTAATCTGCACTGCTCAAAAACACACCTTTTGGGGATCCGAACCTGCCCCAAAACAGCCCTCTTATCACTTCAAAGCTGCTCTAAAACAGCATTTTTCATGCTCCCTGAGCTGCTCCAAAACATCAAAGTGCACTTCCACCCCTGTTACTCGCAATTAAGGGGAGATGCGGGTCGAAAAATCGCGTTTTTTGCGAAAATTTCCACTTTTGAGATATTGCTGCTAAAATCACTTTTGATCATTCAACTATCATTTCCCCAAAGGTCATAGCTGAATTCAAATGAGAAAGTGGTAAAAAATCGATCTGCGCTAGTGAAGGTAGCTGCCGAAGTCGCGAATTCACGCATCCGACGGCTATTTTTGAAAATCCGCCACTCGGCAACACGATGACGTCCGCCATCGGGGTTTGTTCGGTGGTGTAGATCAAGGCTCCTTCTAGTGTACAGGCGTCCCCCTAGTTTCGTATTTTAGTGAGGAATTTCACAAAACAGTCGTTTCCAAGTCGGTTTGCAGCCAAGCTGCAGCCGCTTCGCGCATCTCTACCGGTCACATGGTACGCTACCGAGGCCGCCATTGGCTACATCTGATCGGCCTCGCTCGCTGAGCGCTTGCGACGATCGGCACTTGCCGTGCGTTTCTATGTTTTTCCGAGTTCACCATGGATAACTCGAAGAAGCGAGACTTCCGAGCACGAAAGTTTGCAAGCAAGAACAAGTACCAAGGGCGTCGACGTAAACCGAAGCGCAAAGCAGCGGTAGAAGAATGCGAGCCGCGGGCCACTAGGCCTAATCAAGGCAGCGGGGATACGGCGGCTTGCGGGAACTTTGACGAAATCGACGCCGCGATCAAGTTCATCAGCGCATCAGAAAAAAAGATTGAACAGTTCGAAAGCGAAAGAACGAAGAGTGTTTGTGGCTCTGTGAGCGGAGTATTTTGTGACATCGGCGCACTGACATCGATGGTAAGCCGTGCTGTTTGTCCAACATGCCACACCGCTGGACTCGTCGTTCGCGACACCGCAAGTAAACGTAAGGGCCTCTCTTCGTTCCTCGAGCTGCACTGTGATAACAGTGAGTGTCCTGAGTCAGTGGTTTCTGCCGCGCATAGTTCGCGGCGTATTCTGCCGGAAAGACAGCCCACCGATGCCGGTGATGACTGGAGCTACCGAAGCGGCAGCTCGCGCGACAGCTTCGCTGTCAATGTGAAGGTAGTTGTGGCTGCGCGTGCAATAGGCATTGGGCATGAACAGCTGTCGCGTTTTTGCGCTATTCTTGGACTGCCAATACCTATGCATCATAAGACTTTTATTGCAATCGGCAAAAAAGTTCATGCTGCAGCTACCAAAGCTGTGCAAGAAAACATGGCGAAAGCGCGGATGATAACTAAAGAGAAAGTGGATGGGGCTGATGTTGCTGTCATGTATGATGGCACATGGCAAAAAAGAGGGCACAAGAGCCACAATGGCATCGGCACTGCTGTGTCTGTGGACACTGGTTTGTGCCTAGATTTTGAAGTGCTATCGAATTACTGCCTTGCCTGTAGCCGGCACCAGGACTTGGGTGATGAGGAAGAAATATGGCAAGCATTCCACACACCTGTCTGCGAAAAAAATACAGAGTGCTCCTCTCATGCCATGGAGACTGAGGCAGCTTTGCGCATATGGGGCAGGACATCCTCATACACAACACCATTGCGCTTCACCAAGTTCCTCAGTGATGGGGACAGCAAAGCTTATACCGCTGTCGCTGAGGCCAAGGTATATGGTGAAGCTGTTGTGGACAAGGAGGAGTGCACAAACCATGTGGCCAGGCGTCTAGGCACTGCACTTCGGAAACTGCCAACAAGACTTCCACGAGGGGAAAAGCTGACAGATGGCACAATTCAGAAGCTGCAGAACTATTACCGTATTGCAATCACAAACAACAGAGGTGATATTCTGAAAATGCATCGTGCCATCTGGGCCTCATATTTCCATTCATCATCGAGCAACACAGCAGGCAGCCACCGATACTGTCCAGAAGGGGCGACTTCCTGGTGCAAGCATAGGCGAGCTGAAGCGCTTGGGGAGGCCCCACCCGACCACACACCAATCTTGACCAAGGCTCAAGGATTGGCTGTGCTTCCCATTTACAAGCGGCTCACAGATGAAAAGTTGCTGGTGCGTTGTATCCAAGGGAAGACCCAAAACGCTGCAGAATCTTTGAACAGCAAAATCTGGTTGTTGTGTCCGAAGACTAAGTTTGCCTCCCGGACAACAGTGGAAACTGCAGCTGCTATGGCCGTGTTGTGGTTCAATAAAGGACATTCAAGCTTTGAACACGTGCTAGAGGAGCTTGGTGTAGTCCCACCAGATCAACTGATCACCCTGGGCCGATCCCGCGACCAGAGGAGAATCGAAAGAATGTCTGCGTGTGAAACAGCCGAGGCAAGGGCCCATCGGCGGAACGTGGCAAAGAAAGCGCGCCTTGATGACTCCCTTCTCAAGCGGCGAGAAGGATCCACATATGGAGCAGGACAATTTTAGGTGCTCTAGCTGTGTCCCTTCTATGATATCACCAAGTTTTGTGCAAATCGCACTGTGTAATCATGAGTAAACATATTTACAACTTTCAAATGCATTTTTCTCGATTTCCATTTTGAGGTAATTCTCTCATCTTGTGCACAATCTTTTTTAGGCATAAAATAGTCCTATCTTGATGAAATTTTGCACAGAGCTTAATCAGCCACTCTAGAATACAAGTATCTACTTTAGGTTGCATTATACATCACAGATTTTTTGTTACACAACTTGATACACTGATAGAGAGATGTAAAATATGCATTTAGTACTTTTAATTTTTTTTTTTAATGTAGCAAATAAATTTTCTGTTTGAGCTACTTTTCTGTATTGTACTGCTCAAGTGCAGCAAAATGAGCCATTTTGCAATTCTGTGTGAAAATTTTTAGTAAGCTTTATTATGTGCACAAAAAACACTATATTTTGATATCAAAGTTGTAGTAACTCCGGAACTACTATAGCTATCAAACAAATAATTGCAGTTATGAAATCAGCACTGCAAGCTTTACTAACACCTAAAATTTCAAGGAGCTGGGTTATGAAATAAAAAAAAAACCTTTTTCGAGTAGCATCTCCCCTTAAGCTTTATTGGGAAAAACAAACATATATAGATCATCTACATCATAACAAAAGGCCACTAGGCAAGGCAATATGCATACGTTTAGGTATCACATTTTGCAAGTACTGCATAGGTACATAAGTTCTGCATCACTGAGGGAAATACACTTATCACCTTTCTTTTGAATGTAGCAGGCCTCAATGATTTCTCTTGCTATCTGCTCTGATGACGTGATATTACTATGGTGTCTCCAAAGAAGGATGTGCGGCCACATTCCTGACGATGAGAGGCAATGGCTTTAAGAAAGAGAGAATAGGCACAAAGCCACAAGGGATTTCTCAGAAAAAAGAAAAAAAAAACTTCTTAGTTGCAGCCAAATTCGTCATATTCCAGGGTTCGCATTACTACAGGTTTGTTACATCAGGAATTGCATTATGGGGTTTACCATGACTAGTCTGGGTTTTGAATTACTGGAGAATGGCTTTGGTGATTGCATTACCAGAAATTGGCTTTGTGTCCGACTGTGAATGTTCGTGTTTGTTAAGACAAGCATTAATGCACCTTCTTCTTTGGCATAGTTCTTCATGATAATGGTATCTGATAGAGCATGGCCTCCTTGCAGTCTGTATATTGGCAAGTGCAGCTGATTCTCCAGTTACCAGAAATACTTTCATGGTTTTGTTTAACAATACTTTTCTGCACTTTTGCACACATGGACTTAAGCTTGTTTTTCCCAGTAAAGTTTATTTGTGAGTTGGTGCCTGCTCTGTGCTATTTCTTCCTCCTGGTCCTGTGGGCACTGCATCAACCAAAAACGAATGCCTACCAACTTGCTCAAGTTTTTATTCTTGTGCTACCAAAGGTTTCAGCTTGTAATCTCTTGTTGAAAGCGAAATAGGTAACTTGATTGAAGGGAAATGTGGGTCCTTCGAGCCTACCAGAAACTATTTAGAGAAGCCGCACGTGTGGTATTGAAGGACCCCAAAATCACCCAGAGATAGAAAATTTAGGTGTGGTGCATGAGTCTTTAATATCTGGGAGAATTTTTGAAATGGTCATGTGCTGCTATGTACGTTTGATGATCAAAACGCAGCAATGGCTCATTTCTCTGTTTCCTTCACTGGTCTCCTCGCCAAGTGCCCTTTCAAATCTCACATGACATATGCAATTGCCGACACTCTACTCTGGTTACCACAACTTTGTCAACTCTGTGCTCCACAGCTACCCGCTGTTGTTGCCATAACAGTGCGGGCTCGTACAAATCGGGCTGGTATGGACCCCGGGTTTGTATGCCAGCAATTTGCTACAAGCATTGCGGTTTCCAATTTGCAAACGCATATACACGTGCAACATGACAAATAATAGCAAGGATTCACAGATGCTTGCAGACGAACCAGAAGGCGTAAGTTCTTGTTCGACCAAGTACAGCATAAATTGTGGACATCACATATGCACATGTCGGTGTAGCGCATGTCACCGGGAAAGCCAGAAAGGCCCAGAGAGGAGAAGGTATTATTTCTTTAAATTTGTGGGGCACCCACAGTTTGTAGCGCTGCCACATGTTTACTTGAAATGTTTTGGGCCTTTAAGTTGCTGAAGCAGCTTTGAATGAAGTCACATGAACTCGCTGTTGCTTTCAACGCAGGCTTCAATTATTGCACGAGTTAGCTTTTGTGGTGATTTGTTTGACTAGTGTTCTTTGGGATTGTGCTTTCTTCAGCAGCACTGCATATGATGCAATATTGCGTAAATGTTAGTAACATTATCTGTCTTTTGTTTCAGACTGAGGAGACCCACCCAATCAATTGGAAACCAGACATCACAAAACGAAGACGGTTTTAATGTTATCAAATTGTTTTGCTGTAGCATGAGCATGCCATTTGAGAGTGTGTAATAAAATGCGGCTGTACTGTATAACCTATGTATGCATCTAATGCCTAAAGATATACTGGAAAAAATGGTAGCCACCAACATTTTCACCCATATTGAGAGGTTGGGCATTAAGGGGGGACGCGGCCCTTGAAAACCGAAAAATCGCGAAAAAGTCGGTTTTTGAAAAACCACATTTTTGGGTTGTATGTCTCATAAACTACCTATTCTGTAATTATCAGCACCTAATTCAACCGCAAAGTGCAAAAAAAAATACTATTTTCGAGGCCGCCGTGGCGTCCAAAACAGGCGCAAATCCCGAAATCAAACCAAACTTCGCGCGCGCACCATTCCCGGACCATGCGGTCGTCCCGCGCCATCTTGGTGTTTTTTTGACCGTGAATTCTTTCTCTCTCGTTCGCCGCCTTGCAAAATGGCGTCGGCAGCACAGTTGAGACGCTATTGGCGTTTTCTCGCGATGCGATGCGGAGCGCTGATTGGCTAGAGCAGCGCATTCATATCTCGCAGGAGAAAGCGTGCCCGCCATTGGCTTCTGTGCAGCAGCGGGGGCGGTCGCTTCTCTCGATGGCGCGTCTAGCGCGCTCGCTTCGTTGTTGCTCTCTGCTCCGTCCGCCTCGACAGACGTCTGCTTACGAGCCGCTCTTCGCCTTGTGCTATCTTTTCGATCATTTTCTCTCGTTTTTTTTTCTTTTTGCACTAGTTCTGTGCCTTTCGTCTTTGTTGTTGCGGGCGATGCCGGCAACGAAGCCGAAGTCAGTGCGGAAGTCCGGTGCGCGGAGGCGCGCTATGCGGCTTGTACGATCATCGAAATTCCGCTATTCTGCTGCGGGTGCCAACTGCGTAGACGCTTGCAGCGACGGAACTGTGTTGTCGGCTGTCGCCAGTCGAGAATCCGACACATCGAGTGTGGCTGGAGCCGCAAATGCACCGAGTGTTTCCGAGATCGCCGGGCTCGACACGTGCTCCGAATCGATGCCATCCAGTGTGACACCGAGTGCTTCTGATATCGCCGGACCCAGCACTTCGTCTGAATCGATGCCGCCATCGAGCGTGAGTGGACCGTTGCTTCATCTGCGGACGCGTTTCCTAACGAAGGAAGAAATCGATGCGAATGCGAAACGTCGTGACGCCGTTCGCGCTGAACTCGAGTCTGCGCCGGCGACGCAGAAGAAATTCAACTGATGCAGCCGGCTCTTGCACCTGCAGTGACAAGTGAGGGCGAACATTTTTCGCTCGTTCAAATGAACATCTTTAACGTCGTGCTCAGCCGCACAGTGTGCAAAGAATGTTTGAAAGGTGCTATGACTGTCCGAGAGAGCACCAAGCTTGGACTTGCAACAAAACTTGAAGTCGTGTGCGCCTTTTGTGGCACCGTCGATAAATTATGGACATCACCCCGCAAAAAGGACACGCAGGCCTTCGATGTAAATGTCCGCGTCATAATGGCTATAAAGCAAATAGGCAAGGGGCAAACAGCTCTTAATGACTTTTGGGCTGCCATGAACGTCTCTTACAGAGGTCTTCACCACAAGACATTTCAAAAGAACTTGAAAGAGACGTTCAGGAAGCCAGAGGCCACCGCTTTGGAGAAGTTTTATGCTGATTCTGCCACAGCAGTGATCAAAACATATCAAGAAATGGACCCCAGCTTCTGCAAGGACATCACCGTAGTGTACGATGGCACATGGCATAAGCGGGGTCACACATCACACATCGGAGTGGGATCGGTAATTGACTTCTTTACAGGTCTCATCTTGGATGCTGTAGTTCTTTCAAACCACTGCCTTGGACGCCAAACAGGGCCCAAACCTGGAGATGCAGCATACGAAAGCTGGGAGAAGCAGCGCATTTGCCAGAAAAACACAGACGCAAAATCGGGAAGCATGGAAGTGGAGGCAGGCTTGACTCTCTTTGGGCGGTCTGTATCCAAGCATGGCCTGCGGTACACCACTCTTGCGTCCGACAGAGACAGCCGTACCTTCGCTGCCCTCACAGAAGAGAATGTGTAATGTGTACGGGCTAGTGCCAATTGTAAAAGAAGAATGTCTGAACCATGTTCAGAAAAGGATTGGAAGTGCTCTTCGAAACATTGTGCAGAAAAGTGATAAGCCACTGAGTGGGAAGGGGAAGCTGACTAAAGCCCTCATTGAAAAGCTGACAGGATATTATGGTTGGGCCCTGAGAAACAATTCAACTGACCTAACAGCCATGCAGCGTACAGTGATGGCAACATATCACCACGTCGCATCGACTGACCAGGACCCTCACCATGAACTTTGCCCAGAGGGGGCTCAATCGTGGTGCCGCCATAGAGCTGCAGAGGCAAAGCGTGAGCCACAGCCAAAACATAAACACAGCCTACCGGACTATGTCGCTGCAGCTATGCTGCCCATCTACGAAAGACTGTCACAAAAGTCGCTTCTTCAGCGCTGCCTGGGAGCGAAGACGCAAAATGCATCAGAATCATTCCACTCCATTCTGTGGTCTCTGATGCCGAAGGAACAACACTCATCCTTGATCGCGGTAGAAACAGCACTGCATGAAGCAGTGCTGCGCTACAATGCCGGAGTGATATCGGACTCCATTGGACTTCAACCAGGTCATCTGGCCATCCAGCGAGCTCGTGAAAAAGACGCTTTACGCCTAAAAAAGAATTCTAAAAGACACCAAGAGAAGATGGAGGCCAGGCAAAAGAAGAAAAGAGTGCTCCAGGACACTTCTAGCTACTGTGCTGGAGCTTTTTGAAGAAAGCACGTGTTTTGAACTTTCTCGGCCTGTTTTCTCAGAACGGATTTTTTCGCTAGTTGTGGTGCTGAGGAAAGCAAGAACTCGAAAACCGTTCATCAGATTTGTGTGCCGTTTTTTTTTATTCTGTTCCTGAATGACCTTGCAAGGGCGTAACAAGCTCCTTTTTTTGAAAATTGGTGCTGTTAATTTATAATAAACAATTAATTTTTTATGAATCTGGTCATTACTGGTTCCATCAAGTTCAAAGTTGCGTGAAAATTTTGGGAAGGGGGGGGAATTAAAAAAAACGGCTCTGTAGCGCCCTGGGATAGCTATCAAGGAATGACCGCAATGGATTTCAGCTTTCTACTATGTCCTGGGATTTCTCACGACTCTTCCTCAGGCACCCATATGAAGCACCCAGTTAAACCTCAATAACTCTGGAACTAAGAAACACAGCTTCGTGAAACTTAGCAGTTGTGCTAGTTTTATTGTAGTGAACTACCCCTGAAAGTTTCATCCAGATATCTTAAAAAATAAAAAAGTTCGGTCTCCAGGGTAGCCTCCCCCCTTAAAATAGGCAGACACGACCTACACTTCATGCAGAAACTAGCAAAAAGTAATTATTTTAATGTGTTTTTTGCAAATTGATACGTCTAAAAGCTCGTAGTTTGTGTGTAGCAGCATGCTAACACTCCGCCATATGGCCTTTCTATTTTTCATCGGCCCTCTTAGCAACAGAAGGAAAAGGACCAAGGCAGATGTTCCGCGCAATGCAATCATGGGCTTGTGAAGCTGCTCTACAACTGTGCGTTGATCTTGGGCACATAATTGAATAGTTGAGTTATAGAACATTATTATAATGGGGTGTGTAGGTTCCCATGAAGTGGACAGCGGGATCACCGCCACCATAGCTCAGTGGTTGAGCATCGTATGCATTATTCGAAGGTCGCAGGCTCGGTCCCTGCTAGCGGCAAGTTATCTTTTCGTCCACCTGTCTTTCTTGATATTTCCTTTACAATTACTACTTGTGATGTCTGTTCTCTTTAATATTCCTCCTTTGGATGGATGGATATGAACACTCGAGCACTTCATTTGCCCTAGCAGGGGCACCCTTTTCTAACCGTAGCAACTGCAGAGCACTGTGCTTCACAGAGGACCAAGGTGTGAGTACCATGGCAATGCTATAACCAAGTCCTGTGCTGTTTGTACATTAGAAAGCCATTCTTCTTTTCGGCACAAACATTGAGCAAGTCTACAGTGTTTCTCTTTCAGTGAGGAAACTTCAAAGTTTTAACAGCAGTTTTATATTTTTCAAGTATTGCTGGCTTGAATGCCAGGATTTAGGCAGGAGTGGGAGGTGCAAAATGCTAACAAAAAGACACATTGTGTATAATATCATTTCTATCCTAAATAGGATAATGGAAAAGAAAACACCTATTGCATCTATATAAGTAATTAGAAAAATGAAGGAAAACCAAGGCATGCATAATTGCACTTTTGTTTTTCTCTTGAAAATTTTAGCAGCTAATACAATGCATACAAATGAAGGTATGTCATTATAAAAATCACTGCATCCTCATGAAGTCAATGATGATTAGTGGGCAAAGCAGTGGGATCTTTCGGTGTTATCGGCAGTCACCCGTGACACTGCCCACTCACACATGCAAATGAGTGACAAAGCTACCATTTGCCGAGCTCTCGCCTCTGGCGTAGTAGCTTGTCATCGGCGTTGCCACCGCTTCTCGCGCCTTATGTTTGTTTTCATCCATGGCAGAAAGAGAAGGTTCCATGGTCTGGAACACTCTCACATGCCCATTTACACCGCAGTGCATGCAGCGCCGTCGGGTACCTTGCATGTTCTCAAACACTAAGTAGCTTAGTATTCTTCGCTGTCATGGCGTATAGTGGGTACCTTGCATGTAATGTGCAGGGCAACGTGCAATGGACAATCCTAGAGCCTAAGGTGTTCTTCCCCTAACAACACTACGCTGCAAAGGTATAATAGTGACAGGTACCTGTCCCAAATCTTTAAATACTAAACCAATACAAGACATTTTAGGGAGGTATTAGGTTCCTTAAATCAGAATGTCGCTGTTACACATAAATAAATAAATGCAATGAAAAGTAAAAAAAGTGAGACCCTTTTTTTTACCTTCCTCAAAGTAAAATTAAGTAAGCAAGCAGCTGTGCGATTAAAAGGAAAGGCTAAAAGAAATCAAGGCAACAATAAATGCCTTGTGCTTCGGGAAAAGCTGCAGTCTTTTGCCTGTTCTTATGAATAAAGATATTTCCCCATTTT